CATAATTATGTATTATTATTGCGCTCATGGTGCAATTAAACGCATGCAGCGTACAATTACCTTACGCATCTGTTAAAGTACTAATTAATTGGCTATAAACAATAATAAACTTGTGTATTTTCATTAATTAATTAGTTGTAGGAAAAATGCAAAGGCATAACTAACAATAAAATTACAACAGTTATTAATGGCCTACGGTCGGTAGGAATTCATAGAAATACCCATTCAGCGCCAACACTTTCGTTTCGGCAAATCGGCAAACAAAAACCATTGCATGCATGTGTACGTGTGATTTTTATAAGCGAAAAATGCAACGCTGCTCGTAAAATAAAAATGTAATATTTGTTTTCTGCAAAAGATGCCTGTGTTGTCTGTTATTTATTGCTGATGCATTTCTCAACAAATCCGTCACATCAAATTAACAGCACAATGGCGGCGGTGTTGCAACATCCATCCATCTTCATTGTTGCACCGATTAGTGGTGCGATCCCTGCCCAATGCCGCACAGATATATTTATATATATATATGTATATATGTATGCCTATGTGTTTGTGTATGTACTTGCTTCTTGTCTGCAACTTTAATAATATATATTTATATACATGCATACATACATATGTTCAACTTGYTGCGCTTGAAATAATTCCCAACCGCGCCACATTCAACAATCGCACAACAATGCACCCATTCCACTGCAGTTGCCGTTGCATTTGCCATTGTTATTACTGTTGTAGGCTGTTGGTTGGTAAAAGTGAAAATTATCCAATCGAATAGCAATGAATTGTGGAAAAGAAAKAAATAAAGAAAGTTGCTTCACAATTTACACTTTATGATTTAAGTGCATACATATCTACACACTTGCCTCTAACACATACACTATTACATACCTAACACTCATACATATTTATATATAATACAATTTTAATTACCTTAAGCTTGTTAACTAGGCATGTGCAGCCAGGCAATAGCAAATGCCAGGGTTTTTGTTTCATAAAAACCTCATTGAATTAGTGCAACCGTGGCGGGGGCATAAATCCTCAAATATTTACTTACAATCGCATAAATTATGCGTGAATTTCGAAAAGAGAAAATAAGCGTCTGTAAAAGCTGCAATTTTCATTTCATTCGATTGGAACTAAAAATTCCAAAATACAGTTAATTGAACTCGAAATATTATACTTGTTATTGTATACCATTTTTTGTTGTTGTAATTCATTGTGTGCGCGAGCAAGGGCGAGAGTCAATCARGGTCAATTTCCCGTGCTTAACAGTTGTACCAAAAGCCGTTTTAGCTGATGTAGACTTGTCTAGCCAATTCTAAAGAAAAAAACGAGAAAAAATGTTAACTTCCCCTGCACCGAAGCTATAACATTATTACCCTTTATAGGTGCATTTTTTATATCTAAAAAGAATGTAAAATGAAAATTATCTTGATTTCTATCCGATTTTGATTGTTCAGTTTGTATGGCAGCCATATGCTACAGTTGCTCSATCTGGCCCATTTCTTCGGGGATTCTAGCGTTGCCTTGGAAAATAATACATGTTAAATTTCGGGAAAATATCTGAGCAATTGAAAAAGYTTTCCATACTAGGTTATGAGTTTTATCGATTAGTTGGTCAGTTGTATGACATCTACATATATACTAAAATTACTCAATTTGAACAATTTCTTCGGAGATTGTAGTGTTACCTTGGACTTAAACCCATGATAGATCTCTTGAAGACCTCTGGTCAAATAAACAAGTTTTTCGCGCAACAACTTGATTTTGATTAATTAGGGCGAATTGTAGCTATATCTTATAGTGCTCCGAAATCCGCGTTGCTGACGAAGGTTTCGCTTTTTGTGGAGAAAATAGCCTTTTAAAATAATTTCAGATCGACATCTCAAAAACTGGAAGACTAATTCTCGTATATACAGAGAGACAAACAGACATGGATTAAATGACACAGTTGGTAGGTTTATCCCAGACTTTTCCTCTTGGACCTAGCAATTGAATTCCATCTGGTATTGCAAAGGACCAAAACTGGTCCACCAGCTTAAAGCTAATCTAACCTATATGATTCATATTTTCTTGGTTGTTAAAAATTTCGAGACTAACTTAATATACCTTGTTTGGGATATATAAAATAATGAAGTGAAAAAGTCGTTGTAAGCCGAATAATAACTGTACTTAGCTTTAAAAATCACACTGTCAACTTGTGGTCTTCACTTACTTCCACGTCTCAGCCAAGCGCAGCCGAGGCGGACCTCAATMTTTATAAAACTGCCATCTAATAATGAATAGTTCGGTAAGTTTTATGAAGCTGGCAAAATTACGGTAGAAATATCTTTTGCAGACAGCACAGAAAGCTTTTAAATTATGTTGGTATTCCATGCTAGTTCAGCTGGCTGACTGCAAATGTGAGTTAAACTTTTTCAACTTAAGATGCTCGAAAGTAGGATTCCCAAGCAACTSACGGCTGAAAGATTTTTAGTCTTACTTCAACAATACCATCGAACAATGAGCGAACAGATCGTAAAATAAAGTCCTGAAAGTACAAAGTGACCCGAGTATAATGAGCTCCATAAATCTCTAGGTCAAAGGATCTTACGATAGAGCAAATCTTGGCAGCTAACCAGCGGTTACATAACTCACATAAGGTCCATCTACGAAATAGCAACCAGCACGACGATAACAACAGTCCACCCTGCCCAGTCCTATGATAATGAGACGAGCTACCTGTTTTTTGGAAAATTTATTCGATAACTTCAATTGTAGTTATAGACAAAAAAATAGTAATCCAATTCRCTAAACCTGATTTATGCTAATTTCAAATCTCCAAGAAGCCTCATTAAATCACACACAACTTTTCCTTCAACCTCAACTACGCGAGCAATCGTCATTTGACAACTTTCGCTATTGTGACGTCAGCAAATATCAGCTGTTTGCGTTGCAATCACCGAGTTTCGATTGACACAATCGGTTTTTGCCTTGATACCTACACACAGTTAAAGCCGCGCGTAAGTAAAAACTTAAAATGCATTCCCGCTCCAACTTAACGGTCGGTCAAGCCAATTATTGAAATTAATTTGCGCAAAATAAAGCATTTCCATGCAACATTTGTGGAATTTTCTAAAAATTATAGCAAACACTCGGTCAACTGAACGGTAAATGAATGGCAGCCACTTAATCACGGCAACTGCATCACGATCTGTGGCTGAATGTGGCAAGAGTTTGCGTTGAGTTGGCGTGCTGCGACACGAATAATATAGCTTATCTATATCTATGGATAGAGCTGTGGAAACTCTYACCGTCGTCGTCGTCATCGTATGCAAATCATGAAAGC